ACATACCATAACAATAACATTTTTTTTTCGGAAATGTAATTTTTCATCTGCTTTGACGTGTGACAGGGAGCATTGTTTTGCATAAAAATGAGATCTGATTGATCAATTTCGAGTTTTTAGGCAGATGGCAGCAAGCAGGTTTCCAATATTTTTGAGTATTGAGTGCTGTTCAACGTTTTGTCTTCTGATTTGAAAAATCCAGTCCCACTGAATGAGAAGCAACACCCAAACCATAAAGTTGACAGGATGCTTCACACTATTAACTGTCGTTTTCAAAGTGTTTTCTTCGCTCCTCCGTCCGATTTTCGTTCTTTTGTCTTTTGAAAACTTTTCAATTTTTGTCTCGTCGGAGAAAAGTCAGATTCAATGAAGGACTTGTAAGTGTTTGCCCGCGCTAAACGTTTAGCCTTATGAGTTTTATTTAGCAGTAGCTTAAAAACTTTTGAATAGGCTTTGTAACATTCGTTCAAAAGCCATCTGCGTACAATAGAGGAGTTGACACTTACTTAGAGCTCATTTACTTCAAGATCATTTTTCAAGGTAGCAGAAATTTCTGAATTGACCAGTTTTGGTTAATTTCTCTAATGATTTTGAAGCCGGTTCTCTTATCGATCTTGTTTTCTACCTTGTCAAATGACCCAGTGTAATTGAAGCTTCTCAAAAGTCTCGAGACAGTTGATTGAGAAGTGTTGACACTATTTGCAATTTCTCGAGTCGGTTTACCAGCTTTTGATAGGGCAACTATTGCTACTTTAAAAGATTTCAGTATGTGCTTATAGCTTTTCATAAATCATTGATTAATTGTATTTTTGGTTTCTTTTGTATACCTTAGAATTATTCTACAACTTTATAGAAGTTTTTAAGAATATTCTGGAATAAAATTATGAAAAATAGAATTAAAAGGTATTTTAAAATAATGACATGTTTTTTAATAAGTCATGTTTTTGCACAGTACTGTATATACTGTATTTAGAATGCATAAGCTAAAAATAATGGTCTTTTGATAATTGCAACAAAAATGGACATATTAAAATCAAACCACAGGAAAGAAGACAGAAATCTTCTTAGAGTCTTAAAATCTGTATATATATATTAAGTCCTTCCAACACACCTTCTGTAAGGATTTTAGACTTGAAAGTTATCAGCCTTTGATTAATATGTATTTAATATATAAAACATTGTCTTTGGTGTTTTTCTATTTTATTTGTTGTACACATTTGTCGGTTCTCGATTGAGCTCTGACGAGAGGGGAATGAAAACAGGTTAAGCCTTCTTTTTAATAATATTCAATATAAAACAAGGCTAAAGATCCACTCAACATTGTTCAATATAATACAAGGCTCAAGATCCACTCAACGTTGTTCATTATAACACAAGGCTCAAGATCCAATCAACGTTGTTTAATATAATAAAAGGCTCAAGATCCACTCAAAATTGTTCAATATAATACAAGGCTCAAGATCCACTCAACGTTGTTCAATATAATACAAGGCTCAATATAAAACAAGGCTCAAGATCTACTCAACGTGGTTAAATATAATACAAGGCTCAATATAATAAAATGTTCAAGATCCACTCAACGTTGTTCAATATATAATAAAGGACTCAATATCCACTCAAAATTGTTCAATATAATAAAAGGCTCAAGATCCACTCAACGTTGTTCAATATAATACAAGGCTCAAAATTCACTCAACGTTGTTCAATATAATACAAGACTCAAGATCCACTCAAAATTGTTCAATATAATAAAAGGCTCAAGATCAACTCAACGTTGTTCAATATAATACAAGGCTCAATATAATAAGATGCTCAAGATCCACTCAACGTTGTTCAATATAATACAAGGCTCAAGATCCACTCAACTTTGTTCAATATAATACAAGGCTCAAGATCCACTCAACTTTGTTCAATATAATAAAAGGCTCAAGATCCACTCAAAATTGTTTAATATAATAAAAGGCTCAAGATCCACTCAACGTTGTTCAATATAATACAAGGCTCAAAATTCACTCAACGTTGTTCAATATAATACAAGACTCAAGATCCACACAAAATTGTTCAATATAATAAAAGGCTCAAGATCAACTCAACGTTGTTCAATATAATACAAGGCTCAATATAATAAGATGCTCAAGATCCACTCAACGTTGTTCAATATAATACAAGGCTCAAGATCCACTCAACTTTGTTCAATATAATACAAGGCTCAAGATCCACTCAACGTTGTTCAATATAATGAAAGGCGTAAGATCCACTCAACTTTGTTCAATATAATAAAAGGCTCAAGATCCACTCAAAATTGTTTAATATAACACAAAGCTCAAGATCCACTCAACGTTGTTCAATATAATACAAGGCTCAAGATCCACTCAACGTTGTCCACTATAATACAAGGCTCAAGATCCACTCAACGTTGTTCAATATAATACAAGGCTCAATATAATACAAGGCTCAAGATCCACTCAACGTTGTTCAGTATAATACAATGCTCAATATAATAAGATGCTCAAGATCCACTCAACGTTGTTCAATATAATACAAGGCTCAAGATCCACTCAACGTTGTTCAATATAATACAAGGCTCAAGATCAACTCAAAGTTGTTCAATATAATACAAGGCTCAATATAATACAATGCTCAAGATCCACTCAACGTTGTTCAATATAAACAATGCTCAATATAAGAAGATGACCAAGATCCACTCAACGTTGTTCACTATAATACAAGGCTCAAGATCCACTCAACTTTGTTCAATATAATACAAGGCTCAAGATCTACCCAACTTTGTTCAATATAATACAATGCTCAATATAATAAAATGCTCAAGATCCACTCAACGTTGTTCAATATAATACAAGGCTCAAGATCCACTCAACTTTGTTCAATATAATACAAGGCACAAGATTCACTCAACGTTGTTCTATATAATACAGGACTCAAAATCCACTCAACGTTGTTCAATATAATACAAGGCTCAAGATACATTCAACGTTGTTCAATATAATACAAGGCTCAAGATCCACTCAACGTTGTTCAATATAATACAAGCCTCAAGATCAACTGAACGTTGTTCAATATAATACAAGGCTCAATATAATACAAGGCTCAAGATCCACTCAACGTTGTTCAATATAAAACAATGCTCAATATAATAAGATGCTCAAGATCCACTCAACTTTGTTCAATATAATACAAGGCTCAAGATCCACTCAACTTTGTTCAATATAATACAAGGCTCAAGATTCACTCAACGTTGTTCTATATAATACAAGACTCAAAATCCACTCAACGTTGTTCAATATAATACAAGGCTCAAGATCCACTCAACTTTGTTCAATATAATACAAGACTCAAGATCCATTGAACGTAGAGGGTTACTGAATGATGTTTTTGTATGTGCGTTAAGAAGAGAAAGTAAGGAGTGCATTTTATGAGGTTATGTAGGAAAGATAACAGTTAACTCTAGCGTTGATGAGGTTGTAGTGATCAGGAAAGAAAGCTCTCGTGAGCTTGTTCCATAAAATAGCGGTTCTTGGGAAGAAGTTGTCCGTGTGGAACTGCCTTCTTACTAATGGAATATGAAGTGAATGGGGGGGGTGATTCATCCCAGTGTACGTGGAATGGAGAGTCTCAGCTGTGAAGGTCTTAATTAGTGGAACTAAGGAATGCAGCGGGTCAGAACATTTTCCATGGCAATAGCGACAGAGTAGCGTCTTGACAAAGGCTGCAGGAGCGGCCGAAAGTTAAATGGAATGTGTCGGAGTTAATTCCTCCTTAACTGTCCAAATTGTTCACTAGGGGTCGCACTCGCTACACTATAAATACTGGGCGATTTCTTGTCTCGTTCTCTTTTTATTTTGCATTTCAGCGGACACATTTACAAAATACTTATATATATATATATATATATATATATATATATATATATATATATATATATATATATCGGTTGTGTTGGTTTTCTTTACACTTCTTTATGGTGGAATCAATCTCTGAGTCCGCCATGTTCTTGTAGTTGGACCTTCTAGTAGGATTAAACACACGTGTTCCTAATTTAACAACACGTAAACCCAAAGTCCATTACAAATTTGAAGAATTAAAAAGGTTGCTCCAGCCGGGAATCTGGTGACTTGAAAAAAACTTTTGAAAGCCGAGCCAGTCTTTCTCGTCGTGAAGCAATATCAATTAGTAACGCTCTTTAGTCATCTTAGTAAATAAGTTCAAGCGACATAGTGGACAATAATGATAATTTCTGAAAAAGCAATCGATATGTCCATTTATAAACATTACAACCATACATGCTTCTGTTAATAATAACATTTAAATGTCGTATGTGAGCTCACTTAAGTAAGCCAGAATGCGGGCATATTAACTCATTGCTTATTTTACAAGCACACAAATGAACTGAGTGATGAGTCGAGTAAACACTTTTCAAAAAAAAAAAAATTTTTTGTTCGTTTAAGTTTTTTTTTTTTTTTCTGAGGTTTGAAACTGAACTTAGTGCTAAGCTGAGAAAAAATAAAAATAAAAAACATAACGTGTTTATCAAATGAGCCGCCTCATAGTGATTCCCCATGTTCAGAATTAGAAATGAAAGAAGAATGAATTTGAAAAGGAAGAGAAAAAAAATCAACGCCGGAAAAAGGCAAAAACATAAAATAAAATAACGCGGAATAAAAGTAAATTCATGTCGAATGCCAGATATGTGTATATGTGTGTCAGGATCTGTTTTCAGTAACTTTATTAGTATTTTTTTTTTCTTTCCTTTTCTTTTTTTTTCTTTTCCTTTTATTTTTAACGTCACCTCTTCAGGGGAAAAAAAACGTTGCTAACAGTTATAAAATGTAACTCGGCGGAAACAACATAAAAAAAAAGGTGTCATGTCATTTTTTTTTTCTTTTTAGAATTCGTCTCACGCATTATGCAAAGAGTCGCACGTCCCAAATAAAAGGACGATGTGATCAGAAATTGGAGTTAGCTTCACCCATGTCACAAGGATGCAAATTGGACTACTGCCTGTTCTGATATTACCGTTTGATTCAGTGCGCCCAACAACAGAAACCAGCCCGGGTAGAAAAACAACAGAAACCAGCCCGGGTAGAAAAACAACAGAAACCAGCCCGGGTAGAAAAACAACAGAAACCAGCCCGGGTAGAAAAACAAACAGCGTCAACCCACCCTCAATACAGGTACGATATGAGTCTCGTGGCCGAAGTACTTTCATGTCTGACCACAGAGAGGGTAAGTAAATTTCGTTTCCTCTGCCTCTTCATTTTATTTATTTTTATTTTATTTTATTTCATTTTTCCAAAATGGCCAAACATACAAAATCGCATTTAGACATAAAGATCAACATTTAACAAACACCCTACACTACAGCTTTAGGGTCTCTCAATTAGTAGAGGACTTAAAAGTTAAAAAGTTACAGAATTGATAGGTGATGATAGTGGGACTAGCGTCATTTAACTTATTAACAAGGGCTCTCCATTATGTAGTTCAAAAACACGCCAAGTTTAAATTCAATATTATGTAAACGATAAGGAAACAAAATTAACTTGGATGTTATTTCTTCAAATGTACCATTAAGAGTCGTTATAAATTCGTTTTTTTTTTTGTTTTGTTTTGTTTTTTTGTTTATTTTTTGTTTAGTCGTTTTTTTGTTTTTTTTTTTTTTTTTGTCTTTATTAACATTATGTCACTCGATTAAAAATTAATTCGGACTCTCATAAAAACAAAGAGCTAAATAACCGAAACCACAGCCTAACATTGTAAGGGGTAAGGGCTTCCATGTCTTCTTTAAAATTCATTGTTTATTTTAACGATCTGCTGCGTGTAAATTGTTACTGCCATATCGTATTTCCGGCATATATATTTCCTTTTTTTTTTTACTCTCTCAAATCGTGTCCTGGGTACGACGATAAACTACATGCGCGTCCTGGGTAAGACGATAAACTACGTCCAGCAGCAAGGCCTCTGATCAGGAGGCTTTGAGGAGCGTAGAACACCTCCTAATTGCTGGTGTTCCAAGGTCCACCCTGACCAGGAGTGGTAGCACCTGTTAGAGTCCCAGCTATGAGTAAATAGTTAACTCCCAAACTGGGGTCAAAACACTATGAAAGTGTAAAAATAGGTTTAATACCAGAAACACTTTGTAAGAAATTGTTATGAGCAATAAAGTTTTGAAGAAAAATTATTACCAGCAATATATTTTTGAAAAAAAAATTACCCGCTATACATTAAAAAAAAATTACTAGCAATAAAAAATTTGGCAGCATTGAGGTTGATATGCCGTAAGAAAAACCAAAGCAAACCAAACTCTCTCAAATATTGTCTTTTTCAAAATATATTTTTATTTATATCTGAAATTTTACGTACGCACATGTACACACGCCCACAAATATGTTATGTATGGGTATATCTATCTATCTATCTATCTATATATATATATATATATATATATATATATATATATAGTCGCGAGTGTAATTTCTCTCATGATAAGTGAATGTCGAAATTTTCCCCTGTAATTGACGTTGTTCGGTGCAGGACCGTGCATTTTAATTAACATATGTTTAGGCAGTAAGTATTCTTACAAATACGTTTGATTAAAGTTTAAAACAGACATTGTTTAATCATTAAACAATATCTGTTTGTTTAATCAAACATCTTTTTGTTTAATTTTCATTATAAATTTCCAACTTTCGGATAACAAACATACAGACACCATCCTGGTTCTTGACAATGACTGCGATAATCGAAAGTACTTGAAGATAACAATAACAAAATATGAACTTCACACAGTTTATCCATAACTTTAAGCACAGTAATCAAACTTTGCATATGTATGTATATAGGATTGTATATGCATGCATGTTTATAAATATATATATATATATATATAATATATTTTCTGTTTATACGGTGCTTTTATAGATACAATGTATTTAGGTAAATGCTCTGTTTTAATTAAAGATTATTAATTACTTTTATCGGCCTTTATAAACAGTAATTCGGACTTTTTCTGTAGCTAAATGGTACAGCACGTCAAGTGTAATTAATACATACATATATATATATATATATATATATATATATATATATATATATATATATATATATATATAATGTTCGATTTATTCACATTTATTGGGTATCAGAATGCTTCCTTAGTGCTATTTATTCATAGAAAGTTTCGGATTTTCTCTCCCATGGACCCATCCGATATATATATATATATATATATATGTGTGTGTGTGTGTGTGTGTGTGTGTGTGTGTGTGTGTGTGTATGCAGGTATAATCCAGGCGAGTCCTATTAACACAACATAGAATTTGAAATATGTTAAAACTGACTCACAAAAGAGTGCTCACTGTTTATTTTCATTAAACAGAGAACATTTTCTTTACAATTGGAATTAAGATATCTTTAGTTAATGACCATTTTTACCTACGAATTTTAATTTTAAAATTCGCAGGATTTTTCAAACTGTTTATGGTATTTTTTTTATAATCTACAATTTTTAGGTTAGATGATAAACAGTTTGAAAATTCCTGCGAATTAACTAAAGGTATCTTAATTCTAATTGTAAAAAAAGTATATATATATATATATGAAAAAAGATGAGAACTTTCCATTTAACCTAATCTACCTTAGTAAATTAGTAATATTCATTTGTACTCGTCTTTATGTGTGAAATTAGATGTATATTTAATATGCCCATCCTTATGCCATACATAACAAATAAATGAAGTAATCTCGTAAGCTCCCCATAAATTCGGTCATAAAAATTTAATGCAGTGACTCTCAACCGCCGTGCCGCGGTTCACTAGTGTGCCGCGGTTCACTAGTGTGCCGCGGTTCACTAGTGTGCCGCGAAATATTGTCAAGGCATATATGTGTGTGTGCGTGTGCGTGTTTGCTTGTGCGTGCGTGCGTGTGTTTGTGCGTGTGTGTGGAAGTAGTAACCTGAAAGCGCTCGACGAAATTATCGACTATTATTTTCCGTCACGAGGCACAAAAAAAGTATGATTAGATTCGAAATCCCTTCATAAATGTTCTTTCTAATATTGGTTATGTAAAGAAAAAGAATTTCTAGTGATCGAGGGCTCAAAAGGAAACATTCGATGATATCCACTGATACATTTTGGATTTCAGTACAAAATGAAGATCCTACATTAGCTAAAGAAGCTTTATCAGTTTTATTGCAATTTTCTACTTCTTATTTATATGAATTATGTTTCTAAACCATAACAACATAAAAATACGAAGCGAGGAAGACTACGCTCAACTGAAGGAGAAATGAGAGTTTGCTGATTACACATTCGACCAAACATCTCGATAAAACACCAGACACAGATTTCACATGAAATAAGCTGCATAAATATTGAATAGAAACATTGTAAGTAAAGTAAGTTCATATTTGTGCGTGTATTTTTGAAAATCTATAGTTTTATTTCATAACATTTGACAAACACTGGTTTAACGTATTTTTAATACTCAACCTGTGTCAATATGTCTCCATTCCCAGTTGTACGGAAATTGTTCCTAGTTGAATTCAGTTCGCGCAAAATTTATTTTTTTATCTGTTTGTGGTCTTTCGTCAGAAGGGACTTGGTTAAACTTGATAAACTAACCTTAGAAAGGAGTAAATCTATCAAAAAGTTTCAATGTCCGGCTTGGCTACCTTTGAATTGATTTAGTCTCCCCACACTGATTAACAAATCAGTAATGTCTGAAGATGACTAGCATCGTCATGTGTAAACTCAGAAAACCACCAAAATTCTTTTATTATCTTTGTGTGTGTGTGTGTGTGTGTGGAAGTACTAATGATACGGTGTTAGTATTTGAATAAAGGAATAAGTATTACATTTTTTTCAAATACTTCTTTTAACTGTTCTTGCTACATTTTGGATTTCAATATGTTATATAAGAATAAAGTGTCGCAGCCGACACTTGATTTTTAGCATAGATCGCTAGTGAGCAAACACAGGCGATCCCATTATTGAATTAAAATGGATCACGTGACCATAGAGGAAACGTATATATAGGAAATGGCGTGAAGTCTAGATTGATCGCTTTTTTTAGTCTATCCTCAATAGTATTTGGATCTCATTTCTAATCTATCCTCTATACTATTCGGATCTCATTTCTAGTCTATTCTCTGTTACTATACGAATCCCTATTCCTAGTCTATCCTCTATTACTATACGGACCGCTATTCTCTACTCTATTCACTATACTATTTCTCTATTCGGGTGATTATACAGATTACTTGTCAGACGAGTATTATCGAGCAAGTACTATTAGCGCGAGTGATATTCAAAGGCGTCTGACACCAGTATTGTTAAACGGCGTTACTATAGTTGTATCGCGATTACAAAGTCACTACTACAACGAACATTACGAAAGTGACAACGAGTATTCGTTGGCATCGCAAAACAATACAAAAGAAATGGCGAAAAGAATACCAGGCACAGGTTTCACAGTAAATAACCTGCACAAATAGTTGAATAGAAATAAAGTTCATATTTTTGCGTGTATTTTTTAATCTATCGTTTTATTTCATCACATGCGAATGTATGCCCTTTAAAATATGTTGCTAAGCGTGCCGTGATATTTTCATTTGCTCCTAGGGGTGCCGTTGCTTACAAAGGTTGACAAACACTGTCTTCTATCAGATCTTAAAATAATTTCCTGACAACTTAGGAAATCTCTAGACACTCTTATCTTTACAAGATCAAGCCAAAAATGGGATACTGGTTCCATATATGGGCAGGAGATCCCCAGTCTTCACTTTCCAGTCTCGATAGAATCCAAATGCGTCTCCGCGTCTTTGTGGGTGACAAATTATTTTCTACCTTACAACCTCTTTTCTCACAGACAAAATGTTGCAAGCCTCTCCCTGGTCTATCACATATTTCCATATTTCAAAGTGTCCAGATGAATTAAATTCCTTAGTTCCACCAGTTCTAACCTTCACGGCTACGACCCACCATTCTACGCGCATTGTTACGAACCACCCTCATTTCCTTCGTATATCACCGGTGAGATGTAAGTTCCACCCGAGTAGCTTCTTCCCACCAACCGCTGATCTGTGTAAGCGACTCCCTAGAAGATGCTTCACAACAATCTTAACCTGTTAAAGTCTAGGTTTAACTGTTATCTTTTGCATATATCCACATAAGAAAGAAAGAAAGAAAGAAAGAAAGAAAGAAAGAAAGAAAGAAAGGATCTAAAAGAAA